TCAGCAGTTTCATGAAACAAGCAGGACGAATTAAGGCGATATGAGTCTCTGGGGAACAGATCTATGATGTTGTAAAGTTCACTTAATTTTTTATGAGCCAGAGGGACGCTCCTGTCTTGCATGAATATGACTTTTTAGATGTTAGTTGTTAGTTCGGGCGTCTTGTGGGATTTTAAAAACCTTTTCATGTCCAAAATCAGGTTAAATTTAGAGAAAGAGATTGTTTTGTTCTAATACCAAAATGAATTTCGTTTTCAAATGTTATCAAATTTCGAAAAAGGTCGCACGGGGGGTTAAACTGTTCTCAGAGTTACTGACAACTGCCTGTAAAAATGCTTAGATGTTATGTACATCCCTGTGCTGGAATTACCCGTCTATTCGACTACCTTTGAGAATGTGGCCTTAAGGACAAATGCTTACTGAAGGGAAAAACAACGGATGAGTTATGAACTGCCAATAATTGCAAGTTTGATAACGGGATCAAGAAGTTTACTGGCCTGACGTTTCGGATTCCCAATCGAACCCATTATCAGAGACGGTTGCAGATAAAGCTAGTGGTGGCACAAAGACTGCCGCGGGGCCACATGCGTACTATAATTAACCCGCTCTTGTGATCACCGCCTGAGGTCGTAATTAAGGCGATGATGGCTCGTCAGTCCACGCCCGAGTCGTTAATTGCCGCAATTGCATCATCTGTGTGGAATGTTGGCTTGATGATTACTCGGCCATTTGGCCCGCTGTCACTAGGATAGTTGGGCGTCGGCGTCCCCTCCAAGTGACTGATTTCCCTGCTCAGGGAATGGCTCGGCACTGACCGGACAGACCGAAATGCTGGAATCCGTATGTGGATGATAACTTCGTCGTCATCAAACGGGATCAGATGCTGACATTCAAACGCCGTCTTAACGCCTTCTTTCCGGACATTCAACTTACGATAGAGGAGGAAGAGAACAACCAACTGGCCTTTCTGGATGTTCTCGTTTGCCGCCAAGATTGTGGTGGCCTAAGAACCAAATGTTTAGGAAAGCGACAAACACAACGCAAGTACTGAGCTACAGTAGTAACCACTCGATCGGTCACAAACGCGGTTGCGTAAGGGCGCTATGGCGACGCGTTGAGACGCACTGCAGCGAAACAGAAGACGAGGTTGCTGAATTGCAATATCTTTGACGAGTACTGAGGGCCAATAGCTACCCGCGCAACTTTGTCAACCATTGTGTGCGCAGACGAAACCAGAAACCAAGCCCAACCGGCCGTAAATTATGGCGAGCGCTACCGTACTTGGGGGACGTATCGGAAGCTGTCAGTTGTCTTCTCGCTCCACTTGGAGTTGGGATTGCACACAGGCCGGAAGCGACCACCAGGCGCCAAGTCATGAGGATGAAAGACCCGCTGCCACGGCAGGAAACGTCTGGAGTCGTTTACCGGATCTAATGCGACTGCGGACACAGCAACTACGTCGGAGAAACTGGCAGATTACTCCAGACGCGCATGGCTAAGCACGCAGCAGCGGCGAGGATGAAAGACGCCAGCTCTCAGTTAGCAGCTCATTCCACAGAACACGGCCATATTTTTAGGTTTCAAGAGGTCAAAATCCTCGCAAGGGGTGAGAACCGCGTGAGACGCGAGCTGCTCGAGTCATTGTTCTCAGGTCCGCAATCCATCAACAAGTGCAATGGCCTCCCGGTACCACATCCAATGCTGAGACATTTCCTGAGCAGGGTAATCAATCACTTTGGGAGGACGCCGACGCCCAACTATCCTTGTGACAGCGGGCCAAATGGCCGAGTAATCATCAAGCAAACATCCCACACGGATGATGAAATTGAGGCGATTAACGACTCGGACGTAGACTGACGAGCCATCATCGCCTTGATTACGACCTCAGGCGGTGATCACAAGAGCGGGTTAATTATAGTACGTATGTGGCCCCACGGCAGCTACGTAATTTTGATGCTGCAGTATTTGTGCCTCCACGACCTTTATCTGCAACCGCATCTGGTGATGGTTTCGAGTGAGAGTCCGAAACGCCGGGCCAGTAAACCTCTTGCTCCAGTGATTGCATCTTCTTCCTCCTCCTCCTCCTCCTCCTCCTCTTCTTCTTCTTCTTCTTCTTATTCTTAACTGCTTCCTGGAACTCGCCTGTTCGCTCCTAACGGCAATTACAAGTGTAGAAAGTGAATATTAGAATACCCTCGATGTTTTTGTTTTCTAGAGAAATATTTGAGACAGCATTCAGTGCAGCAACTAAAACACGAACTATACCGACGATTTGGTTATTTGTCACACATGGGCACTCTAAAAATGCATGACGAAAAATAAGTACCATGGGTTTAAAAACAGACTTGCGTGTTATTTAATATTCTTTATATTTCACAAACCAAAAGTGATGGCAAATGAAGTAAACACAGAAAATGAAATTTGCGGTTTTTCTCCCAGGTCTACGAAGATCCAAAGAACATATTTAAGATCTAGTGAGCCCGTCTGAAGTG